ATCCTAGCAAACACTTTAATCTATCTGATTTTATTTGCTAACAAACATATCACACAGATTTAAACATTTCTCTCGCACTCAAACGTCAGTACCGGTTGCCTACCGGTCAAAATTTTTATAAGAATGATCGGTTAACCGGTCGGTCCGGTCCGGTCTGCATATGTTCACCGGTAACCGGTGACCGGCCGGTACCGGTTATGATTTTGTTGACCGGTTGCATCTCTGTCTCAACGTTAGCAATCTTCTGATAGTTTTCGTAGTTCTCAGTTTTTTTTCATAGTTTTCAATGTTTTCATAGTTCTCGTAATTCCAAACAAAATTCAGAACACTGAGAAGTACCAGAGCATTGAGAAGTATCGGAACACTGAGAAGATTGAGAACTATGAGAACGTTGACGACATTGAAAAATATGACATCATCTAGAGCTATGAGGAGAGAGAACTATGAGAACTATAAGAACTATCAAAACATGAAGAACCAAGAGAAGCATTAGAACATTGAAAACCACGACAACATTGAGCACATTGAACGGCAACATTCAAACCATTGAGCAGTATGAGAAAAATGAGAACATGGAGAACATTGATAACTATCGGAACATTGATTATTACGAGAGCCATGAAAGCTATTAAACGGTTAAGAACTATGAGAACTATAAAAACATTACAAGAAAATTGGGAACTATGAGAACTACCATAACATTAACAACTATGAGAACCATTATAACATTGAGATCATTGATAGCTACCGCAACATTGAGAATTACGAGAGTTATGAAAACTATTAGAACATTGAGAACTAAGGGAACATCGAGAGCTATTCGGCCATTGAGAACTATGAACCATAAGCAAACAGAGAACCATTAGCACATTAAGGACTATGACGCCATTGAGAACACTGAGAACTACCAGAACGTTGAGAACACCGTGAACATTGATAACTATGAGAACCTTGACTACATTAAGAACTGTGAGTACTATGAAAACATTGAGAAGATTCATAACTGTGGAAACAGTAGGAACTATGAGAACTACGACAACATCGAGAACACTGAGAACACTGAACACTATGAGAGCATTGATAATTACGCGAACAGTCAGAACTGAAAACATTAAGAACTAAGAACATCAGAACACTGAGAACTATGTTAGCCTTGAGAATATTGATAACTATGAGAATACTCACAGCAGTGTGAACATTGACAACATTGATAACTATGAAAACATTGCGCAGACTGTGAACTATGAGGACATTGAGAACATTGGGAACATTAATAACTATGAGTGCTAGGTAGAGTACTAAACATTGAGAAAGATGAGAACTCTGAGAACATTCACAACATTGAGAACATTGATATCTATGGGAACATCGAGAATTACGAGAACTATGAGAAGACTGACAACTACAAGGACATTGATGTAGAAGAACTCAGTGTTCTCACAGTTATCGTGTTCTAAACCTTGTCAATGTTCTCATAGTTTCCAATATTCTCAATGATCGCATCGTTCTAAATATTTTCATAGTTCTCAATGTGCTCACTGTTCTCTATGTTCACACTGATTGCACAGTTCTCACTGTTCTTAATGTTTTACTAGTTCTCATCATTCTCAATGTTTTCAGAGTGCTCATAGCTATTAATATTCTCAGCGTTCTCAGTGTTCTCAATGTGCCCAATCTTCTCATAGTTCTCAATGATCGCATAGTTGTGAATGTTCTGATACTTTTTAATGTTATAGTAGTTTTCATAGTTTTCGTAATTCTCAATATTCTCACAGTTATCAATGTTCTCGATGTTCTCAATGATCTCATGGTTCTGATGATTCTGAATGTTTACATAGTACCCATACTTATTAATGTTCTCAATGTGGCCAATGTTCACACTGCTGTGAGTATTCTCGTAGTTCTCAAAATTCTTAATGTTGACATAGTACCCATACTTATTAATGTTCTCAATGTGGCCAATGTTCACACTGCTGTGAGTATTCTCGTAGTTCTCAAAATTCTCAATGTTGACATAGTTCTCAGTGTTCTAATGGTTCTCTTAGTTCGTAGTGTTTTCATAGTGCTGACTGTTCGCGTAATTATCAATGTTCTCGATTGCTCAACTTCAATCGTTGTACAGAATATAGATACAGAACGGTGAATTTAGTTTTTTAGTTTACTACAAAGCTAAGTTTGCATGTTCGAATCTATATTCGTCCAAAAATTGATTTTGTGTTTTTCGATAGTTTTAGTTAGAATACTATAATGGAATATTCTTCCGCTTGTATTCTGACAGAATAAAGCTATAAAACAAGTCGCAATAAAAGTCATAAACGTTCTATCATACAAAGAGTTTTGTTTTGAGTAGCAGAGAGAATTGTGCCCATAATTTCTTATTTCTGCGTAAGTAATTTCATAAATAAACCATGATTAATTGTTCCCAGACCAGTAACAGGATCATAACCTTTTTGTGCTTTGAAACCATATGAGCAGCATGTTTTCTTATTGCAGTTATTTTCACCTGTTATTATATCATAAAATGCATTTGGCTGTTTTTCAGCCAGTTGATAAAGTAATGGATTCAAAAAACCCAATGGTTTCATACCAAGTTTCAATCGTTGATCATTAATCGTACTGAATAGACCAGCAACGGCTGGACTACTAGCAGATGTTCCTTAACAAACAAAAGCTACTTATGAGGATGAATTATATTATAATATAATATAATATAATTCAATGGATTTTAAAAGAAAAGTTTTCAAGTTTTTCTGAGGCGTGCTGACCGTTTTTGACAAGACGCTCCTGAGTGTTTTCCATCATTTCCCCAAAAATTCGACGACGATTCAGTGTAATACTCTGGGTCTACTTCACAAAACCATAGACAGCCCTTCGAACGGACCATCTTCGGCTGCAAAAATCTCTTTGCCGATGCCGTTTTGTCTATCTCTAGAGAATAAACTATTTCTAGAGAATGCCTAACTCAAACAAGTTCAAATTTTTACCATAGATAGCACTCATACCAAGACAGCTCTGGTAAAAATTTGAGCTCATTAGCATTTGATTTGATGGAATTATAGCATAAGCCAAATTTTCGACTGGAAAATCGCTTTTTATCCGTATTTTACGACCCTTTTCTGCATGCGCTCTAGCGTCGAGGGAAAGCATTTTGGAAAAAAATGTCTAGAGACAACAATGTTCAGGACACATTTTTCTATCTGCTCTGAAAATTTGAGAAACATTTGTCAAAGTTCATTGAGCAACTTAGTTCGTCCCTATCGTGCACTGCCTCTTATGTTTTCCAGACAACAAAAAGCAGAAGAGTGTATACATACCATCAAAGCCGTTTTTATCAACATTGCCCTGAAGTACTACGGCATAATTATTTGCAAGAAGAGAAATGTCAGGATATGCACGATTGCTTCGGTTAAAAGATTTTGATGGTGGCAACCGTTTCCCAGCTGAACTTAAATAACTTTGAACGGCTTTCTTTTGATATGATGGTGCCGAATCATAGTCAGAAAAACCACCACCAGACGTAATCGCACATCCTGTTAGGAGATTAGTGTAAGCAACAATTTCTTCTAAACATCGATTAGGTGCTTCTGGAATGTATCGACAATTTGTTTTACTCGGAACTAATTGTGTACCACCGACACTTGTTACATACGATGATGATGTTGGATAATCAGGCAGAAACTCTTGTCTGCAAACACCATCGTCAGTCGATACACCATCATCACCGGAACTAACAAATACCGTTTTGCCTGATAAACCCATTTTCATAAAGTTAACATCAATATTGTGAAGTAATTTTTTTCTAACGGATCTAGTACTCCCACCATAACTAATGGAATAGACTAAGGGTACAACGTTTGTTTTATTCTTCTCAAGTTGTGCTAATTGAGCAAAAAATTCTATGAATCCATCTTCGGACGTTGGTGGTGGGTAAAAGTAATCAGTTAAAATTCCGGAACCCATGGCAGCCATATATTCTATGTCTAGTGATGTTTCAGCTTCATCCAATGATTTATTTGAATAATCCGTACCATAAACTTTTCCAATTCTTACATTATAGTTTTTCCCTCTATGTTTAGCAAAGAATTTGAATGATGCTCGATTATAATAACTATTAAAACCGAGAACCGCTTGCCTATTACGTGGATCACGTTCTTTTGAATTACTGGTATTCACATTGTATAAGTGTACCAACAAATTTGGTGTCGTATCTGGTATTTGTTCAAATGGTTGAATAGTATAGTCAGAAAACATTTGTTTTCCTCCGATAATGAACTCTGAACGAAGAGTAACATTATACGGGTGAAATAAACCACCAACAGCATCCACAAAAAATCGACATAATACACTGTCATCATTCAAATCGTATGCATCACATGAAGCCGAAATGGAACCCGTCGCTTCGCTACATACCGCACAGTTAGCGTCAGTTCGTGTCACAGTTAGAATCAACGGTTTAGTTGATGTTAATAGATTTTGTAAAACTATTTGGAATGACTGGAAGCGGCCACATATAGCATTCGATGCATTTCTACGATTAAAACAAATCAGTTGTACCTCAAATATAAACTGTGTTCCGTCATTGTCAAGAAACAAAAGCTGTGGAGCGTTCGATCGTCTTTTTCTGGCTAGCTGTTGTTGTAGGATCGAGCGAAGCCTTCGATCACGCACTAGTGGAAATTGGCTAAGACCTACAATATGATCGATTTTATCATCAATGACTTTTGGTAATTGAAACTGTTTAGCTTTCAGTGTTATTTGTCTTTTAGTTTGATGCTGATATGTACTTAATGTAGTTTCAAATAAACGGTTAACCACGTGTACTGGTGTTTCGACAACAAGAAATTCTTTATAGGCGGTAGATGTTACACGGAGATCATCACCATTTTGTTCTTTTTTTAACCAATTTTCAACAATCTGACCATTTTCTATCGTTTTGTTTAGTACTTGTTGATGTATTTCATCATATGTCATATGTTGACCATACTTCGGGTGTAATGGATCACTTACATAATCAAACTGACGCTTTAAATTTTCCACTTGTTCATCATCATTTTTAATTACCAATATTAGACGAACCTTGTGTTTTTCATGTGCTTTCAAATCAACTAATTTCCAGTGTTCACTGGGCACTT